CGAGCCAGGGCGTCTGGCTTTCAACGTCGTCTCCTCCACGGTGACCCAGCTGAGCTGGGCTGAGCCCTCCGAGACCAACGGCGAGATCACGGCCTACGAGGTCTGCTACGGCCTGGTCAACGAGGACAACCGTAAGGCCCCCCCTTCCGCCCCCGGGGTGGCAGCCGTGGGAGGGGAGGGGCCGAGAGTGGGAGGGAGGCCACGTTGTCCTGCTCAGTGGATGAGCCCCTCCATCTGATCGCCTGAGGCGTCATTCGGTTTGCCTGGGGCTCACAGGCAGGGGGCCTTCCCATACAGGTAACCAGAGCGGCTAGTTTTTACACCATTCTCTTGGGGGCAGAGTCGAGTTGCCAGACTTAGCAAATAAAAACAGAGGACACCTTGAATTTCCGATAAAAGTTTTTTACTACATTTCATGCCACGTTTCTGGCAGCCCTAGGCCGGGGCACCTGGCAGAGCCAGTCTGGGAAGGGAGCCAAGTGTGGGCGATCCCTGCCAATCTTCAAGATGAGAAAGTATTGGAGGAAGTTGGTCCAAACCCTCACCTGGTACAGGGACCTCCTCCTCGCCTCGGGGTGGTCAGTCCCAGGATGGAGAGCTCGCCACCCCCTCTGACCTGTGGCCCCTGCGTGGGTCAGGCTCAGCCGCCTGGGTGGCCCACTGGGCAGAGGGCAGCGGGGTTGGTATGCTGGGCATCGGGCTCGTGGCTCTGCCAGCCAGGCACACCTCGCACAACCTCCTCAGCATCCGCGTCACATCCTTGGCTCATTCTGAGTTCACAGCACTTAGACCAGGTCAGGAGGCCGCCTCTGACCCTGCCTCTCATCCCAGGGGTGACAGGCACCCTGACAGAAGCTCATGGCGGGGGGTTTCAGCACACGGCTTCAGCTTGAATGTGGGACCTAGCCCGAGGACATCAGCACACGGTGCCCTCTCCCCTGCTCCCACCAGCTGAGAGGATGCAAGGGGCTGGGCCCTGGAGTTAGAGACCCAGCCCCCGTTCCCCTCCCCCCCCCCCCAAGGCTGACGGGTCTTCGTCACAGTCCTTTGGGCCTTGGCTGGGGGTGGACACCAAGGTATGAGGTGTCATTTTCCACAACCTCCTTTGGACTGTGTTGGAAACTGAGATGTTGGCTGGTCTCCCAGGAGCCTTGACCAATCAGTAGAGGTGACACTGGGCCACCCTGAGTTAGACCTGATGCTGCCACTTAGCTTAGTGATGAGCCCTTTGGAGAGTGGGCGACAGTCACGCCCGGTGCTCAGGGGTTGGCACCCGCAGGGGTTCAGTACTGCTCACTCCCTGCCTGTCCCGGGGCCCCCGGGAGCCGTTCCTGTCCTGCTGTGTCAGAGGCAGGCCAGGGCCAGGCGGGATCCGGGCGACCCCTCTGAAGCACTCTCCCCGCCCAGGACCCATCGGGCCCATGAAGAAGGTGCTGGTGGACACCCCCAAGAAGCGGATGCTGCTCATTGAGAACCTGCGGGAGTCCCAGCCCTACCGCTACACGGTGAAGGCGCGCAACGGGGCGGGCTGGGGGCCCGAGCGGGAGGCCATCATCAACCTGGCCACCCAGCCCAAGCGGCCCATGTCCAGTGAGTGGGGGACGGGAGGCAGGGGGCAGACGGGGCGCAGGAGGCCGAGACGGGGCTCTGGCTCACCCTCCCTCCCCTGCAGTTCCCATCATCCCCGACATCCCCATCGTGGACGCGCAGGGCGGGGAAGACTATGAGGGCTACCTCATGTACAGCGACGAGGTCCTCCGCTCCCCATCTGGCAGCCAGAGGCCCAGTGTCTCCGACGACACAGGTGAGTAGGATCCCCGAGAGGAAGGTGGGGGTCCTGGGTAGAGGGTGGGGCTGTCACTAGTGTCCAGAGAGAACAAAGGGGCCCGTGACCTCTGGGCATGAAGGTCAAACTCTCTCAGGTCAATAGTTTGACAGGGACAAGCCCACCTGGCACAGGAGCAAACACGTGCACGTCTGTGCATGAGACAGCGAGACGCCTGCTGGGGCAGACGTGCTCGACTCACGCCCGCGGGACCACACGGAAACACAGCTTTGCAGCTGAAAGGCTCACCAGCTGTGCCATGGGGTCAGGACCCCCGGGCGGCCTCCCAGGGGCAGGGCGGTGAGGGAGGAGGCCGGCGTGGCCAGGAGGCCCGGGCAGCCACTTGCCCTGTTCCTCCTGCGGCGCAAAGAGCCCTCAGCTGGGATCCCCAGCTACACAGTTTGAGCTTCTGTCTCCACTGCAGGGATTCAGATCCATCACTTACGGTCTCTGTGCCTCAGTTTTCTGATCTGTGCAATGGGGTGCCCTCGCACAATGCCATGAGTGCAAATCCTCCAGGACTGTATTTTCTTTCATCCCCGTCTATGCCTCAGGCCCCAGGGACCACATTCCTGCCCTGATCAGGCAGAGCTTGGGCTGAAGGAACTCAGCCTGGGCGTCTTAAGAGGGCTCAGGGTCTGGGGGCAAGAGGAGCCCCGTTCAACTGCTACTGACCCTCCCCCACCCCCCAACATTCCGGCTTTGGGAACTGTCACTCTCTCCATTGTACAGAAGGGAAACTGAGGCTCAGAGCAGGGAGCCCTCACAGCTGGTGACAAAGCCAGGGCTGCCCCTGTCTCGGGCTGGCCCAGGGGTCTCTCCTTACCCGCTGCCCCCCAGGCTGCACTGGCACATCGCAGGGCTCCTGTGCGGCCCGTGGGAGGAGGGCCTGCGCCTGGCGCCCCGTCCCTGCCGTGC